AATTAGATACATATCTTATAGTTTATTATGTTGATTCAGGCATCAGCTTTGCGAACGGAAGACCTGCTGGACAAGTTGAGTGTTTCTTTAACTGGAGAAGAACTTGATGTTATTGAAAAGCTCTATAATCAAGCTATGAAACTGGAAATTAATATTTTCCTAGCTCAGCCACTTGCTCAGAAAACCGTTGTTCCTCTATGCAAAGAGCACAATCCAGGGGAACATTGTCTCATGTTGTTTTCTGATTTTGATTTGACATGCACTGTTGTGGATTCATCTGCTATCCTGGCTGAAATAGCAATTCTAACAGCCCCGAAATCTGATCAAAGTCAATCAGCAAATCAAGTTGCTCAAATGTCATCCATTGATCTAAGAAGTACGTGGGCAGAACTTTCTAAGCAGTACACTGAAGAGTATGAGCAGTGCATAGAAAGTGTCTTGCTTCCCAGAGAAGGTGAGTGCATTTCCCCATCTGTGTCTCTCTCTCTCTCACCCACACGTACACTCGCTTTCTCACTCACTCATACTGATATTCAGCTGCTAGTTCCTGGGAATTGACCAAGTATGCATTGAGGGAACTAAGAATTGGGTTCCATGGCTGCATCATTATTTCCCAATCTCACTTCTCCTGAACCAGGAACTTGATGCATGATATGATAGATCCACAAGGGGATAACTTTAACCCCTTTATGTTACTAGTAGCCATCAAACTGACCACATGTTAAACTATAGAAATGGAATTGGGTGGTTCTTGTGTAGAAGGATATTCTGACTTCAGCATTGAGGGCAAGACTATTTTTGAGAGAGATGAATTGATGGAGCTAATGAGGAATATAATCAGTATCAAAATAATTAGGGGAATAATTGATTGATGATTAGGTATGGGAATAATTGATTGAGAAGATCTAAGGGAAAATAATTGATTTGGAAGATCTTAGAATATCAACTGCTCATATAGGGTCATAGAAACTCCGCCTATGTTGTCTCAACATAGCAGGTCCCAAGCCCTGGTAAAGGAGGAGGGTTGTGATAGGCTTGGCGAGCTAACGTAAAACCTAGCCGTTCTATGGAGATGAAACACATGACGAGCCCCTTTTTGTGTTTTCTTACCATTGGTTCTCTTGGGTTTCATCTCTAGCCTACCCCAACTTGCTTGGGACTAAAAGGCTATGTTGTTGTTGTTGTTGTTGTTGTTGTTGTTGTTGTATATAGGGTCGTAGAATTGGAATATTAGTTTATAAATAACAGGAATGAGTGAACACTAGAGAACTAGAAATATCTTTTGGCTTGTGCAGACAAATATTTGTCTGATGGGAATTCTTCCACAGGTCATTGCGTCTTTACTATTTCATTTTTCATTTACAAAAGTTTATTCTCTTTACTCTATCTGCATGCATTTTTCTTCTTCTGAAATGAGGTGGGTAATATCGGACAGAACGTGTAATTTTCAGGAGGAAATTTTGATTATGAAGGGCTCCGTGGAGCACTTCAACAACTTTCGGATTTTGAGAAGAAGGCAAATTTGAGGGTGATTGATTCTGGAGTACTGAAGGGTCTGAGTCTTGATGATATAAAGCGAGCTGGAGAACGCCTAATTCTCCAAGATGGCTGTAAAGATTTCTTCTCGAGTGCTATTAGGAATGAAAACTTGAACACAAACATCCATGTCCTATCCTATTGTTGGTGTGGTGATCTCATCAGATCTGCCTTTTCCTCAGGTGCAGTCTTTTTCCCTGGGTTGGTGGCCTTTTGCTTTCTGCTCAACTAGTTTGGATGTATATCTGTGCAAATGATCATGGTTTTTTCTATTGAACAATTCAAGTTAGTTACTATACTGCTACTACCTTGTATTATGTAGCTTCTTCCTGTCCTGTTTCTGTTTCTTTTATCCNGTTTTTATTCTTCTTCTTCTTCTTCTTCTAATCTTGCCATTAGTTTTCTGTCTCAATAATTAGAATCTCAAATTCTCAGTAGGCCTGGACAATATATACTCTTGTCTCTTGTTCAATGCATGTGATATTTGGAATTTGGTATACTAATTCTATTTAAGTCTGGATCAGGTGGTTTAGACACTGTGAACGTTCATGCGAATGAGTTCATCTACGAAAACTCTCTATCCACGGGCGGAATCGTCAAGAAAGTCGAGTCTCCAATCGACAAAGTCGAAGCTTTTGCTGAAATCTTAAACAAAATGGCCAAGGATTGGAAGATTCTGAGCTTATATATCGGCGATTCAGTCGGTGACTTACTATGCTTGCTCGAAGCCGACATAGGTATCGTGATAGGCTCGAGCTCGAGTCTCAGAAGAGTGGGAAGTCATTTTGGAGTTTCTTTTGTTCCTTTGTTTCCAGGTTTGATTGAGAAACAGAAACAATTCACTGAGGATAGTGTTTCTAACTGGAAGGGTCTCTCGGGTGTCTTATATACAGTTTCTTGCTGGGCTGAGATTCGTGCTTTTATCCTGGGCTCATAGTCATAGTATTTTTGATGGTGCAGAGATGTTTATATAATAGGATGGATACATATATACAAAACAACCTTAATGGCCCTTTTTGTCACGGGCCACAGGTAAAATTCAATCGTCTTTCGTTCCCTTTTGATTTTTATGTGGAGGGCTCTTCTATTCAGAACTCAGAAGTCAATTGTGTTGTTCATTCTCGATGTGTTTTTACTACAGGGATCAACTCTGAAATGTAAAAAAGAAGAAATGTCATTCTTTTGTTATGAACATGTAAGGTTTTTTGTCTTCTGTTTGCGACAGCGAACTTGTTTTTTAGACAATGCTGTAGAGGTGAGCGCCTTTAGCAATAAATATGATTGTTGTATGCCTGCTTTCAGCATTATGCTTCTTGTATTCAGGTTTTTGGTGGAGGTGGCATTTTGAAAGTACCCAATTTCTGGATTTACAAAACCCATGTTTATTTGAATTTAGTATTGCAGCTACATTTCTCGGAAATTTAGATATTCTTGTATAATATAGTAAATTAATCATATTTTGACGAAGTTCGATTTGATATTTATATTGCTAATATGTGGATAAATAATAAACTTAGTTTTTATTATAAAATTAAATTATCTACTAATATTAATTAAAAATTATTAATAAATTATATCAATTCGAAAAATCATCTATAAATTAATTATATATGAATTAAAAATAATTTATAATATAAAAAATGAAATAATTGTACAAGTGAAAATTTTTGTTTTAAATATAATAATAATTAATTTCATTTAAAACTATTTGAAATTTAAAACTTATGCGTTGTATCTTTTTAAAAATTTTAGTATAAATTTTTTAGTTAGTACTCATGTAATCTTGAGTGTTTGTAATTGGATAAATTAGTACAATTGTCGTGTATTACACGAGTGTTGAATTAAGAAGCATATATAAAAGTATAATATTTTTTATTTTAAAATTTTCTTTAAAATTAGAATAATTTAATTTTATATGAAACATCACGTTGTGTATCAATTAAATTGTCAAAATATAATTTTTATTCACAATAGTTAAACACCCCATATATAATTTTAGAATTTAGATGTCAAACTATATTTTTTTTTAAAAAATTTATATGTAATTTTAGAGTTTGGATAATTATTTTATATTTTTTAGATTGACTCACACCAACTACACTTTAAATAATTTTATTCTTAAAAGAATAATATCATATTATCTTGTCTTCGAAATGAATAAAATATAAATAATGGAGAGCAAGGTTGACAAATAAATTAATATGATCGATTTAGTTAAGGTATGTAATAGAAAAAAAATTAAATAAAAAGAAAAATATTAGGGTGACTATGTAAGAAAAATATAAGATGAAATCAATAATGATTGTTTCAATGAAGGAAAATATTTAACATATTATTGATATAACCAATGCATAATTGACGTTTGACATGACACTCGAGTCAAACTATGTATTAATTCAAATCATATAATTATAACAAATATGATATCAAACAAGCGAGTCTGCTACTTAACTTCACACATTCGAGAATTATACGTAAGAAGATTATTACACATGTATATCAATAATCATGGGTAAGTACACTAGTGAAATTAAAATTGTTCATTATTTTTACCGCCATGTACAATTTGTTGAAAGGAGAATTACGCGGCACGGCGTCGTATTCGTTTTCATTACGGCCCAAACTTGTCTTCCCCTTCGCTAAAATCCTGAATACAGTCTGAAATATGTACAACTGCTATACGTGTAGAGCATAACTTAATTGTGAGTTTTTTTTCGAAGCTATGGTTGAAGAAAAAACGACTGGCGAAAAAGAGGAAGATATTGAGCTTGCGGGGAATGGTTCTTCCGACGATTCTGTGGAGAATAACGAAGAAGAAGACGAAGATGAAGAGGAACCACAGAATGAGGTTTGTTTCGTTCATCTTTCGATTAGGGTTTTGCGAATTTATTCTTCCATCTTTTCTGGTTATTCTCGTGATTGAAAAATTTTCGTAGTGATGTACGTCTTGCGTGAAAGGTTGTACCTTCACCACCCTTTTGATCAAGTTCTGTTTATTTTGTTTATGAAAAGAACATACACATATATATGGTTTGTTGATTGCCTTTTGCAATGTAATACTGTAACCTTGCTACCCTCTTGATGTATTTCATCAATTCCTTATGTTGGGAAGTTTTTGTTTCAATTGCTTCCTTTGTTTATTTAAAATAAACTGAATAGTTTTGTATGAGCTGATATACTTTTAGAATAAATAAAAAAAGCTTGGAATTGAAGAAATGTTGTTCTGTAATCCAGATCATGCGAATGGTACTTTTTCCCTCACTTGGTGGTGCATTCATGTTGTCATTTTGATTTGGTTTTTATGCTAATGGAGCTTGTAGTATCTTGTGTTATTGTTTCATAATAATTCTACCTAGACGTAGCTGATTTTTTGGTGGTTTTTTTGTTCTGGTGGATTAAGGGTACATTTGGCCGCAGGTAAATTTGCATTTGTCCATCTGATTGGTTTACCTTCATTATATACTCTTTTCTTTGCGATTTCAATTGGCCTCTAACCTAAAGTGTTGACAGCACGATGATCCAACTTTGGGCAAAATACTGCAGGGTATGATTCATATAATGGAAAAAGTGGATTATTTGGTGAAAGTAAGCGTAGAGCAGCTACTACTTGTCAATAGATGATAAACCAATTTCAGAAAATAGGGGTTGATAAGTAAGCGTAGAGCAGCTACTACTTGTCAATAGATGATAAACCAATTTCAGAAAATAGGGGTTGATAATGAACTGTATAGGAACTAGAGAAGAAAATTCCCATACATTGATGACTAGGAAATAAAAATAAGTGTATTGGAGGCAAAGACAAACTGAAGAAGAGTATAAGGAAAGGATGTGAGAATTGAATATCCGATCCCCCAACTCTCTGCTCTATTCCGATTAACAATATAAGTTCATGGTGGACTCAGTCTACATTCCTGGAGACTGAATTTCTATCTAACTACAGTATTAGAAAGTCCTTATTAATCAAACTTTTTCAAAATTGGTACTCGGTCATATTGAGTTCTTTTACTAATAATTACCGTATAACTTGTCTCCAGGCTCCTATTATTTTATTTATTTATTTTTAAAATGATTAAGTTAGAAAAATGTTCCCCTTCATTCGTTCTGGATAGCCTACATTCTTCATCATTTTTTATCCGTTTGCAGTTTCGTTTTCTTTTTCATGGGCTTTGTCCTTGATTTTTTCTTAATGTACTCAGGAACCTCTGACGGAAGAGGAGATAGAAGAGCTCATTGCTGAGCTTCTAGAAGTTGAGAGCAAAGTAACAAGCTTTTGCATTTCTAACTTTAAAGAAAACATCAGTTGCTCTTTGCCTTGATCACAATTGTAACTTTTTCAGGCTGCAGAAGCTCAAGAAGCTCTGGAAGAGGAATCTCTACTCAAAGTAGAGGCTGATGTTAGGAAGGAGTTGGCTCAATCAATTTCTGGTGATGAGGTTAGCTATTCTTTTACATTCGATATCTGTTTTATATTTTTTAAATATATAGACTTGAATCTTGGTGGTTGGATAGTTGGACAATGCTGTTGCAGAAGAGATGGAGACACTTAAAGAAGAGTGGGAAGTGGTGCTTGACGAGCTTGAGACTGAGAGTGCTCATTTGCTGGTATGGAGTGTTGATTTGTTCCGGTTGTAAGTCATTGTAAATTTGTTTAGTTTCAATTTTTCCCCTGCTTAAAGCAAGTGGTACCCACAAACTAATTTAATGATTGCAGAAGAAGAGATACTAGGATGTTCAATTGTTTATTGTTATGTAGTGCTTGAGAGAGTCTCATGGTAACTAACATTTTGATTATATCTTAATTTGTTTAAACTTGGATCTGGTTGTCATTATATTAACATTGTACTTGCAATCTAATTCAAACGTCTGTTTGGATCAATAGAAAGGATTTGTTAGTGCTTTCTGATTAATTCTCTTACTAGTAATGTTTTTGTTTATTTATTTATTTTTATGTATATTATTATTATTATTATTATTATTATTATTATTTATTTATTTTTTTTTTCCCTGAGCAGGAGCAACTTGATGGTGCTGGTGTCGACCTTTCCAGTCTCTATAAGTGGATAGAGAAGCAGGCTCCTAATGGTTGCTGCACTGAAGCATGGAAAAATAGGACTCATTGGGTTGGAAATCAAATGCCTAATGATGCCAGTGCATCAGTTGCACAGGCGGAAGAATATCTCCAGGTCCACAGGCCTGTTAGAAGGTTCATTCCCAACCTTCTCGAATGAGCTAATGTGATTTGGAATAAAAATAAATATTTAGTTCTGACTTTGGAGCCTTCATTGTAGAGCAGACGGCATGGAAAGATTTTAGAGGAGGGTGCCAGTGGTTTCCTAGAAAAAAAAGTTGTGGTAAGTGAAAGCAGTGGAGCTGTAAATGACGGTGTGAATGTAGATTGGGACTCTTTCAGCAAAATGTGCTCTGGTAAGTCATCTTTGGGATTCGGCAGTAAGGAATGGGCTTCTGTCTACTTGGCCAGCACTCCACAGCAGGCTGCTGAGTTGGGTCTGAAATTCCCAGGAGTTGATGAGGTGAATTGTTTTGGAGTTTGGTTAAAATGTGATCCATACTAAAAATTTCTTGATCATAGTGTCTTGTTCTCCATCAGTTGAGCTTGTTAACATAATAATGGTGCTGAATTTTCTGAATGCAACTTTTGATTAGTAAGAACAATGATCTCATTTCAAGATTTGTTCTATGTTGAATGCTCTAAGTACACGTATGTTTTCTCATGTATGGTAGGGTGTCCGGGTATAATTGGAACACAGAAAAATGTTATATTTAAGTACAAAAATTTCTCATGATTTTATTAGTCGTATTGATCAACTGCTGTTGACTTCGCGTCCTAAATGTAGGATTACACACATTTTGTTCTTCAACACTGTTCAAGATGACATAGTTCAAACGATTGTTTCTATATGGTGGTTTTAATTTACTGCCCTTCAGTAACTTTAATGTCTTACATCTTCTGCATTGTCAGGTGGAGGAGATTGATGACATTGATTGTACTTCGAGTGACCCATTTGTTGCAGATGCCATAGCAAATGAAGGTGATCTGAATCTTACCGAAGAACAAATGAAAAACTTCAGAAAGGTGAGTAAATTGCATTTTAACCATAGTTCTGTTACAACCAGAGCTTCAAATGATGAAACTTCTGAACAAAAGTCATTCTTACATGTAGCAAACTGTAATTTGTTTGGTATTTTCATTTTCATATTGAGAAGTTAGCTTTAATCAAGTAAAATGTGAACTACTTGCTAGCTTTTCACATAGGTCTTATGGTAAAATAGTATGGCTAAGCATGTGGTTTGGTGATGAAATCTGCAGTTGCGTTTTCAGCGCAAACTCTTTTGTAAAGTGCTTTAAAAAGCAAAATTCATAAAAAGTGAGATTTCAACATGATGAAGTTTTGTTAAGCAAAACAACATGACCGTATCTTTTTGGTATGAAATTTCTTCCATCATGAGACAAAATTGACTCATTTACATATCGGAAATTAATGTGTATGATTTACTGGAGAAGGGATCCATAGCTTAAAATTTTTTTAGTTATCCTCCTCCTCCTCAACCTTCGTGATTCATATCTATGTTTTGGGCTTTTGTAATTCATATGTATGTTTTGACAGGTTAAAGAGGAGGAGGACCTGAATGCTGATCGTAAGCTTCAAATGCGGTTGAAACAAAGAAGACGTAGGAAGAAAAGCAAAGAGGTTTACTTCAATGCTTCAGCTTCTAACAATCCTTAACTGGTTTTATGTAGTTTATACAAATATGTCTATTTCTAGTAATTCAGCTTTTGTTGTGATTTTTAGTGAAATTACACATCCAAGAGTGGCATTATTTGTTTTCTCTAGCAAGACATTGAGTGCTTGGTCATGCTATTGGTGATATAATTAAGATAAGTTTTCAATAGCCTAGTTAAACTCTAGAATTGGATAAGTTTATATATATATATATATATATATATATATATATATATATTATTCTTCTAAAAATCGCTTGAATTTGATGTAGTTGTAGATTGAAATCTGATTAGTTTGTGAATTTCAAATGTCCCAGTTTAAATTTATATCTGAACATTATCCTCCATAGAATCAAGGCTCTATCTGAGTATCTAGTATGAAAACTTTGTAGTTCTTTTTGAGGCCAGTTCCATACTGTTTGCTATTTCATTGTCCGGTTTGGAATATGTGAGCAATTGCACATTTGAGAGGAATGAATGATTTACAATTTTACATACCATGTCTCACTGTGTGTGTATGCGTGCAACTCTGTGAAGATCATAATGCAAAATACATGTATCAAAAGATGAAGATCTATCTGGTGCTTTAAACTTGATATTCTTGATCATCATAATTTTTTGGATCTCCTAGGCAAATTGTTGTTACTCGCTAGTTTTGACTCTGTGAATGAACGTCAATTAGGAGATCTAATGTCGATTCCATCATAATTAATAAAATTTGATTAACAATTTCTTTACAGCGCCAGTTTGAAGAAATTGTCGTGTTTGCCATTCAAATTCATGTGATAGGCCTTTTAAATTATGAAATCCAGGGGCAAGTATTGTTAATAGATGCTGATTTCGAAACATTTATATTTGGATCTTTTAGTAATCAATGCTAACTGTCTGCTGGAGTAATATCACTTGGATTCTTTTTTTGCGTCCATTCTTTCCATTTTCTTTTTCCACTTCTCATTTGCATGTACTATCTATTGATAGCGTGGGCCTCAGGTTTATATTCCAAAATCAGACAATCCAGTGGTTATATTAGGTAGCGGATTGTATTTATGGCCATGGCCATCTTGAGCAGGATGCTATTCTTACCGACTGTAATTGATAATTGCTCAAATATTATTCGTTCCATCTGTCTTTGACTCTCATCCTTTCAAACCCGTTCACTCTATTTAAGTATTCTCTGGTGACTGGAATTGCACATTATTATAGTGCGCTGCACCTAGAAAATTAAAAGGAAAAGTTTGCTTCTGAGTGCGGTAATTATCTGCAATTATACATACAAGTATTTGTACTGATGTGATGTACTGTTTGCTTAAGGATAATTTGTCGTACAAGTGTCATTATTGGATCAGCGTGCTAGCCTTGGATCAAGTTTGGTCACCCAAAGAAGAAACTAGATCTCTTGTTTGACTTGATCTGTTTTCTTCTATAATTTGTACTACTCATATGAAGTAGAATTGTAAGCATCAAAAGAAGAAAGTAGGATATGGAAATGTCCTGTTTTTAAACCTAACTTATGCTTAATCCTCAGAAGCATAATCTGCCAGTGGATCAGTTTTTTATTTATTTATTTTATTTAAATACTTATTTTTAATATGCGTACATGAAAACGATGATTTTGGTATTGAATTCCATTTATTCATACGAATAATTATTTGATTATACTTGGTGCATGAGTCATAGAGTGATGGTGTCGATCATGTGTCTTGGTTCTGTACAGTCCATATTAGTGTGTCAACTCATGTTTCTTGTGACAAACATAAAGTTGTACTGGTTTCTCACAAAGATTTCTCACAATTCATACTTTTTATACCCTAGGCATAATTATTACCTTTTTATTTATACATTTTAGCCTTCCAAATCAGCATTATTGCGTGGTTTAATGTTTGTTTGTA